GTTTGTTAGTTAGGCTGTAGTTCTTGGTTTGCTGGGTTGTTGTTCTGAATTTACTTTGTTTATGGTTGGTTGGTGTTGGAAGAGTGTTATTTATGTTAATAAACTTTATTATATTTTACTTGGTCTGATTCCTGATTCCTTGAGGTGTAGCCCACTGATCTGGTCATCTCTACTGGATACCTGAATTTGGTATCCCTTACAAGTTCTTTGCAAGTCTGGGGCTGCATTTCTGCAAATGAAGTTGTAGATTTGGTCAGGATCAATGGTGTCCTCAATGCTGAGATAATACAGGCAGATACTTATCCATCATGTCATACCATCAGGGAAGCATGTGATTGTCTCCAAATTTATTCTGCAGCAGGATAACAACCCCAAACATACAGCCAATGTCATTGAGAACTATCTTCAGTGTAAAGAAGAACAAGGAGTCTTGGAAGCGACGGTTTGGCCCCCACAGAACCTACACACAGAAGATCTGTGGATTAATTGATGCTGTTTTGAAGGTAAAGGGTGGTCACATCAAATATTTATTTGACTTGGATTTCTCTTCTGTTCATTTACTTTATATTTTGTTAATTGATAAAAACAAACTATTAAAGTGGAAGCAAACTCAATTTTGTATCTTTTACCTACAGGTAAGCCTTTAATAAAGCTTACCTGTAGGTACTGTAAATATCTCCTAAACGTGTAGAATTTAGGAGATATCTACTGTAGAAGTGCTGTAGAAGCGCTGGTGCCCAGCGTATGTGCACTGTGTTATCAATAGACGGTGTGCCAATCAGATGGCCACAGCTTGCGAACCTGGAAGGAAGACCGGGTGAATATGGAAGCCTCAAGGAGCCGTGATAGCACTCTGCTGGAGGGATTTTTTCACGTCTTTCATGATGTGATAGTATGCGATGCATACTAGCACATTATGCTCCTAACATGCAGAGAGAAGATTTTTTTTTGCGGTTTACTAACGCTTTAACACTTTACACGATATAACACAATATTTTTTTAATGCATTCTTAATTTAAAGCATTTTTTCACACCTGCCTAAAACTTTTACACAGTACTAAATATATTTTATTTCTGTAACACAACATAAACATATATTCAACAATAAAAAACAAAGTGTCCAGATGCAAAGGGAATTTCAGTAGTCTGTGTTTCTGTGGGTATTATCAATCTGCCTGAAGAAACCTCATCTTCTTGTTGGACATTTGTAATTTACTTAAAGTCAAGCACCCTTTTTTCCCACCACATAGGAGGGAGTTGGTAAAACTTTCTATGCTCTTCACAGTTAGAAATACTTTAGACAGTGATTCAGCAATATATTTCAATAGATATGGAAAAGCCCATCTACATAGCAAAATCTAGATTGAAATAATAAATGAGCAAAAAAAATCTGTAAACCAGTTTACTTTCATTAAAAAGTTCACAACAATCCATGCATATCAAAAGACAGCTTTTTTGAGATACAGTGCTCCGTCTGGCCACTCAGACCACCTTACTTGTGTGCCTTCATCAATAGGCACCACTCTACATGTTATGTCTACTAGACTTCATCAGAGGATTTAGGGGCAAAGAGAGACCCACTGAAAGCAAACAACTTTTAGACTGGGTTCACATTTGTGCGGTGTGGGACACCGCATGTGATTCGCACAGGAATCACACTGCATTCCTGGGCACATCACATGCGATGTCTGTGCAGTGTGATTTGAGCCATATATTTTGTATGGCTCAGATTGCATTGCATCCACACTAAAATGTTGCAGGACCCTTTTTTTCCTGAACCTGAATTGCATCGCATGGGTCACATGCGATCCAATTCTGGCATTTGCGCCAGAATTTGGGCGTGACCAACAATGGAAGGCTGAAGCTGTGCATCGCTGATCTCTGTGTCCTGCTGACACTAAAAGGCTGTCTCTCTCCTCACCTACACCCAAGAGACACATGTCAGCACACTGCTCTCACCCTGCTGCACCTGCTGAACCACAGCAGGGACCATTCAACAATACATGCTCCGCACAGCCCTGCCACCAAAGACAAGATGGTGCCAGGCCAGACCCCAGGTAAACTGGCCACCACTTCCACATGGCTTGACGTCACTGGAGAGCTCCCAGCTATTCAATCTGACCCACCAGCTCCTCCACCTATTCCACCTTCAGCTCCCTCTGCCCCCCTGAGATATGATATAGCTACCTCATTACCCTCTGCTTTGGGGGGATCCTCCGGATCGACATCACAGCCCTCCTCTCTGCCCTCCAAGCAGACTGAGTCATGGGCCTTCAAAATGGAATCTTCCCTTCATATAGAGTTGGATTCCCCAAGACAGCAAGTCTCAGCCTTAGAGTCTGCTGTATCAGCCCTTGCTCTCACTCAGGAAGACCATGCCACCACGCCAACACCAGCTCCGTATTGGAGACAGCAAAAATAGAAGCTTCAGAAACAACATTAGATTGGAAGGTCTTCCGGAGGCAACCTCAGGTACTGATTTAAAACCGACTGCTATTTCCATTCTCAATCAGGTTCTGGGCAGAGAGGCTACACTATTACATCCAGAAAGAGGAAATTATGCGCAGGGCCTGGCGCCTGGGTCCAGTGGACTTTGATGGTATTTCCATCCAAAGCTTTCCCGACATACCCTGTATAGGCATTGGATGGTCCAACCTCTGCTTGACCTGATTTGCCAAGCTGGCGCTACCTATACTTGGGGCCATCCCTTCAGTATCACAGTTACTCAAGGAGATAGGAAGATCCTATCATTGTTCTAAACTGGCTGGACCCCCGTGACGACTGTCATCGACCAGTGGGTTCAGCTCCACTCCCACAATGCCGCAGACGCCCAAAATCTATGTCCACTGATGCTAGAATTCAAAGGCCAGTGTCACCGGAAGCCTGACTTGGATTCTTCATAGTGAACCCTACTATGTATCTTTTTGCTGGACCCATTTCAGTACCTATGGGAAGTACTTATTGACCATACTAGGTCAGGTTTACCCAGGGGAAGACTCCTCCTAGTTTCTCCCCCTTCTGTTTACCTGGTTGCCATTAAGATTATGATGGTTTTTTTTTTATAACATGATTGAGTTTCTATATACTGGCTCCCCTTGCGTCCTTTGCCTGTATTATATAACTGGGCTGTCGCTAGAAGGGGACTGTGGTCTGCTGTTACTATGTATATGTTGTTTCAGGCCCGGATTGGACCCCGACCGCCATGACCCTGACCTCACATTTTCCCCTCTTCTTTTCTGTTACTCGCAGTGGCATACTAGCAGCCTTATCCTTCTGAGCACAGTAGTCCTCTCTCCCCTCCCTTTTGATATTTACATTATCCTTGGATTTACCATGGGGCAAGTGTGGTCTGGTTCTGAACAGGGCCATGTATTATCTGTTTGGGGTTCATTCTCATAGTGGTGATTACCTCTACATGGTGGGCAACCTGAAATTATTCTTTTTTGCTGATTGCCCTCATGCATGCATATATCCTTTGAGTGTAGCTCCCGAGCCTCCCTTAGAATATGTACCTAGTTACGGTTAACATTTAGGTTTCGGTTGATCCCACGTGAGAACGCTTCAACCTTTGAAGTGTGCAACTTACTGCCCCTGAAGCTTTCTTTAAGTTCTTTTGAGAAAGTTGGCTTACCCTAGACACCTGTTAGTCTCCTGGTGTGCCAATATCTACATGTAGCATTTCCCTTATTACGCAATATTGGCACTGGTGCCTGCGGGACAGTGGTCATGATGCAGCATAAATTCCACTCCTCTGCATTATAATCTTGGCACTCATTTTTGAATGTTAATCCCGCCTTACTCTAACTTGACCTGGTTGCAGGGTGGACAGTTATGTTTTAGTGTGCTCTAATGTTAAAGCGATTGTAAAGGCACATTTTTTTTGTCTTTTAAAAATTAAAAACATATCATACTTACCTGCTCTGTGTAGTGGATTTGCACAGAGCAGCCCGCATCCACCTCCTCTTGGATCCCCCTTTGGCATTCCTCAAGCAGGCTCGGTGTCCATTGATACATAGAGATGCGACTCAGTCCCCCACTCCCTCCTCATTGGCTCACTGACTGTGATTGACAGTAGCGGGAGCCAATGGCTTCTGATGCTATCTCAGCCAATGAAGAGAGGGTGCACATTCCAGTGCACATTGCTGGATCGAGAGGAGGCTTAGGTGAGTATTAGGGAGGGCTGGAGGGCTTCTGCACAGAGAAGGTTTTTTTACCTTCATGCACACAATGCATGTAGGTAAAAAACCTTCTACGTTTACAACCACTTTAATTTATATTTCCTCATAATAGGCATAGTTCAAGCACTCTTTTCATGCCTGTTATGCTGTTGGAATCACATCTCAGACCTCGCCTACTTCGACCTCACTCCCTCAATAGGATTGGCACGGTCCGTGCCTGTTTCGTGACATTTCACGCAGTGTCCTGCATCCGCAAGCACTTTAGAGTTTTTCTGTGACATTCCCCCTCGAGGGTCTCATTATCTTTTAGCATTTCTCTCTCTCTCTCTCCCTCTCTCCCTCTTATCTCCCTCTTATTTTCTCCTACAGTAACCTTTGGCTTACTTATTATTTTCCCCCTTTCCCTTCTCATCCCCTTTCCTAGGCCCCTTCCCCCCCCCTGCTCCCCGTCCCCTCTAGACATTCACACGAAATCAATACACCCAAAATTTAAACTTTTCTCATACAATGTTAATGGCTTTAATATGGCCTCTATTCTCTATCAAATGTACAAACAACAACAGGTTAATGTGCTCCTCCTGCAAGAGACACATTTTCAGTCTGCCTCAACTTATTCTTGCTCCAACAGATATTTCAATAGGTGATTTTATAGCACCAACCCTGTTCAAAAGGCCAAGGGAGTCTCTATTGCTTTCCATAAAGCACTCCCGATCAGGGGCGGACTGACAACTCATGGGGCCCCCGGGCAATAGGGAATCATGGAGCCCCTGTGTCCTTGCCTAAACTCAAAAAAGCCTATGAATAAGGTACCAGGGGCATCTCATGGGGCCCCACTACTGACCCCGGGGCCTTGGGCAGTGCCCGAATTTCCAAATGGTCAGTCCACCCCTGCTCCCGATATAACTGCTGGACCACATGACTGACCCACATGGGAGGTACATCTTTGTGAAATTTTCATTTCAATTCACTGTAGCCAATATATATTTACTGAATGTTCATCAGACCCAAACAGCTCTGTGATATTTGGAGGGGAGGGGAAACTTATCCTGGGCGGGGATCTCAGCATCCCCTTAGCTCTTGGATTCTTCAACTGTGAAGTCCTCAATTTTCCTCCCCAAGTTAAAGACTCTGAAATGCACATTATATGACATGCATGCATGCACATTATATGACATGCATTTGATAGATGTTCGGAGGGTTCTTCACCCCAAATCCCGTAATTATACCTATTTTTTTCATGTTCAGCTGCTTGGATTGATCCCCTAAATGTGACATAGATGCTATGGTATGGTCTGATCACTCACCTATCTATTTGACATTCTCGATCCCTTTGGCTCCACTGAAGGAATGGACATGGCACCTGAATGACGCATTATTATTGGATCCAGAATGTGTCACCTAAATTTCAGAGACTATCTCCAATTTCATGATGGACCATGCTTCTGATACTACTCTGCTCCCCATTCAATGGGAAGCTCTAAAGGCAGTTCTGTGCTGGACCTTTATTTAGATGGGAATGCGTCTGAAAAGAGAGTGAGCAGCCTCTATTGTTTCAATGCTCCACAAGCTCAGAACTTTGGAAACTGAACATAAACGCTCTCCAACGATGGAAATGCTTACGGAGGTTGCTTTGGCCCAGTCACAGTTTGGGAATTATAAAAATCATCTGCTTGGTCCTTTGCAGATAAACTGGCCTTGAACCAATATAAATTTAAGGACAAATGCAGAAGGCCATAAACCCGCTCCTTTCATCTGAAAAATCCCTCCATCTTTTTATCTACCACCTCCAGGGATTGAATGGAGATGTACTCTCCACACTGTCTGACATAACTAAGGCATTCAGGGATTTCTACCAATCCAACTACAATATTCCCTCTCAATGCTCTATGCACTCTACAACCACTTTGGAAGAAGAACAGATGTCGCAGACACTGCACTTCCTATCATTTTGGTGGTCTTGAGGAGACTAAATTGTGAAAGACATTGCCGCTACCCCAGCTGGTGAGAGTCCAGGTCCTGATGGCTTCACACCCAAATTCTTCAAGGTTTTTGCTCCTCTTCTAATTCCTTTCCTGGCTAAAGTTTTCAGTTCTGTATCGGATGGTTCTGTGTCTCCTCCACAAACACTTGAGGCACAGATCTCCACATCTCTAAGCCTGGTAAAGATGTGTCTATATATGCAGCTTACAGGCCTATTTCCCTGATCGGAGTAGACCTGAAAATCTTCGCTGTTAAGCTGAGCTATTCGATATTAGCTAATTGGCTACAACCGCTGTTACTCCATCTGATACACTTGGATAAGGTTGGCTTTGTAAGTGGAATAGAAGCAAGAAATGACACAATGAAGACTATTCTTCTCAGTGATTACACTTGCATACATAATATCCCTTTATGCCTCCTAGCGGTCGACGCAGAAAAAATGTTGAACAATTGCTTACAGCAGATAGGGTTAGGTCCTAAAATGCTAGCAAGGATAATGTCCCTATACTCCTCGCTGTCAGATAGGATTCTTATTTAAGGCAACAGGGGTGTCCCCTATCCCCCCTCTTGTATGTTCTCACAATGGAACACCTGGCTATTGCTCTGTGACACAACCCAAACATCCGGGGTGTTTTCACTGGCCCTCTTCACACCAAACTTGCCTTATTTGCTGATGACTTACTTATATTTGTGACGCAGCCACATACCTCTCTGCCTTCAATTTTACTGGAATTCCAGAGGTTCAGGGTTGCCAGTAATTTTTAAGGTGAACTACACTAAATCTGAACTTCTCAACATCTCCCTACCATTGGTGGATCTACTCCAACTTTCCACTATCTTTCCTTTTAAGGCAGGTTCCACCTCCATACACTATCTGGGAATCCAGATACCATCTGAGGCTTCTCAACTCTACTCTTTAAATTTCCTTCCACTGCTTCTTAAGACCCAAACAAACCTATCCTCTTATGCTACCAAATGGCTCTCATGGCTGGGTAGAGTGAATGCCTTGATGCTGGATGTCCTTCCTTGATTCCTTTACTTGTTTCAAACAATTCCAATTCGTCTCCTACCTCATATTTTCAGAAAATACGCCAACTGTTCTTGAAGTTCATATGGAATTCAACACATTCCAGAATTCATTTTACAACACTAACTCTTCCAAAGATTCAAGCCAGAGCGGGGAGTCCCAGATGTCTCCATTTCTCACAAGGCAGCAGTGCTTACCTGATTCCTAGACTGGTTCCACCATTCTCCTGACAAACGCTGGATTCAATTGGAAGGCTACATGAAACCTATCAATGTCTGTGTCCTTCCGTGGACCCCATCTGCCCAATGTAAAGGTCTCTCTGTTCCTAGTGACCTCAGCTGACAGTGTCCACTTGTGGGACAATATGTCATCTACCTTTAACCTAAATACATGGGACCTATGACATCCTTTTTTGGGACCCTGGGCTTTCTCACTGGCTTTGCATGTAGCAGGATTTGGGTCCTGGCACAAACAAGAACATAGAAGACTAGTCCTTGCAATCTCCCTCATCTTCTGCTACATCTATACACAACCCAGCATTTATATTTGCAATCACACCACAGATCACCAATGTTGTCTGAAAGACTTTTTATTGCAAAATGATGACATCACAAAAAAGGTGCAACGTTTCAGAGCCACGCAGGGCCACTTCGTCAGGCACATAATATAGCCTATACCAGGGGCGGACTGACAACTCATGGGGCCCCTGGGCAATAGGGGATCATGGGGCCCCTGTGTCCTTGCCCAAACTCAAAAAAGCCTATGAAAAAGGTACCGGGGCATCTCATGGGGCCCCCTACTGACCCCGGGCCCTCGGGCAGTGCCCGAGTTTCCAAATGGTCAGTCCGCCCCTGGCCTATACACAACCCAACACAGTGGCTGCAGAGGCAACAAGTTATGTCATACAGTCGCTCTATTCCTTCACTACTAGATGTCCTTGCCAAGCTGTCAAAATTTTAGTCTTTGCTTCTGCAAGAGGACCCTCCAACCCACGTGGTCATTGAACTGTTCTCCTTACTCCTGAATGCATCTTCCTCTGACCTCCCACTTTGTTCGAAGGCCGGGGAAACAGAGCTCCATCACACTATTTCTCTTTCTGACTGGCAAAAATGTTCTTATTCTTTCTCTAGCCACCAAAAACCAAGAAAAGAGGTTTCATTTGATAACCAGATGGTATAGATGCCCAGCGGTTCTACATCACTTCAACCTATTAATACCTGTTACTTACTGGCGTTGCCATGCCCTCAAGGGCACCATGCTCCATATTTGGTGGGATTGCCCTCCTGTGAGGAAATTTTGGCAACATATTTTTATTTATACTGATGGCGACCTCTATCCAAGCCTCCCCTAGAGTAGCCCTCCTTTCCATGCTCCTTGGACCCTTTAAATTTACAAAAAAAGTTGTTCTGCAACTCTTTTTTGGCTGCTGCCAGGACAGTTATCCCCCTCCACTGGAAATCAACCACCATGCCTTCTCTCAGGGAATGGGCCAATGAGGTAAACTCAATACCAGACCGATAATCTGTTGGCACAAGAGGCAGGAAAGGAAGACCAGTTCTCTCACACTTGGACTGAATGGTCCATGTTCCGCTACTCATCTCAGTTTTTACTGTGGACTGAGAGCGATTCTGCTTCCACCTCTACTTATCCATGACAGAGTTATTCTCAACGTATTATTTGACCCCCTTCAGTTTTCCTCTTCCCCCTAAACTTTACTTCTCTGAACCTTTATTCATTTCACATATCACATAAGCATTACTGATGTACTTTCTTTTGGAGCTAGTGTTGGGTTTTTGTTGCTAAATTTGTCCTCACTGGCATGACTTCCTCTTATTTTCTGTCAAGTGACAGAAAATCTCTCTAACAGAAACAAAAACAGTGACCAATCAAGAACACAATTTTTAGAAGAACAGGGAAAAGTTGGAATATCTGTTTATTTTTTTTCGTCTATGCCTTCCTACATGGCTATAAAAGTTTCACCCCCATTTCCTGTGCTGGTGTCAGCCACAGAGGCAGGAAATCTTGAAAAAAGTGTAACTCTTCTCTATTCTTTCAAAGCTAAAATGGCTGGAGCTTTGCTTTCAAAACTACAATGAAATCACTCTCCGACCGCCCTATAGCAGATGTACTGCTATAGGGCGGCCGTTCTGTACAAAATCACATGAATATATAAGTCATTTTGCTGCTGCTGCTGCTGTGATTAGTCACAGCAGAAGCCAATCAATGGGTGCCGGCCAATGGATGAGCGCCATCACCCACTGATTGGTGAGGAGAGTGACAGGACAAAGCCAGTTGTAAACCAGGCAGAGCTTTGTCCTGTCAGTGGAAATTTGCCTACATTCAGGGAATAAAATCCAGCACATTGCCTAAAATCACCACACTGTGAACACAAAAACACTGGTTAGGCACACAGTTAACCCTTTGCTTACCCTAGATGTTTAACCTCTTCCTAGCCTGTGTCATTAATACAGTCACAGTGTATATTTTTAGCACTGATCACTGTATTAGTGACACTATGTCAGTTAGTATCAGTTTTAGATTGTCCACCGCTATATTGCAGTCCCGCTATAAGCCAGCTGATCGCTGCCATTACTAGTATAAAAAAAAAAATTGCAGTATATATACCATATTTTGTAGACGATATAACGTTTGCGCAAACCAATCAATGTACGTTTATTGGGATTTTTTTTACCAAAAAAAAAAATATGTATCAGAATACATATTGGCCTATATTTATGAAAAAAATAAATATTTTTTTGGGATATGTTTTATAGCAAAAAGCAAAAAAAATTTTTTTTTTTTTTTCAAAATTGTCGGTCTTTTTTTGTTTATAGCAAAAAAAAAACCTCAGATCAATTACCACCAAAAGAAAGATCTATTTGTGGGAACACATGACATAAATTTAACTTATGTACAGCGTTGCAGGACCACGCAATTGTCAGTTAAAGTACAGCAGCGCCGT